TTTTGTTTTAAGAATAAGATCTGTATTTTTCAGAGCTAAACCAAGTCATTTTTAACACATGAAATACTTAAAATATGTGTATTTTTACACCCTTAATCAGAAGTGTATGCTACAAAACCTTGCTTAACTTAATGTTGAGCTCAACTCGAGGCTGTGCTGAGCTGAACAAAGTTATTGTGTTCAACCCTGGTCTACCTTAAGCTGTATGAGTCAGTCTGCTAAGCTATGAATCCAGCCTTGTAGTATATCTTTCAGTTCCTTCTTTATTTAAATTCAACATTTAGACATGTCAGTCTTTTGCTTGGGCTCCTTTTTTGCTCACCGCCAACTAAAACAGAATCGGAGTCAGCACAGCGTGTGTTTCGACGATGCCGTAATGCCGTACACTGTGTTCTGCAGGCATAAATCTGTGCGAAAGGCCCTTTAACAGCTTTGATGCTCACAGGGATGCAGTAACTCCTCTCTTCTCTCCTTCTCCCTTCCATTCCCCTCCCCTCTCCTCTGGCACCTGTCTAAAGGAAAACGTCTTGTCGTTCATTTTTTTTCATACGGTGTGTGAAACATCACGTCTGGAAAAGCGGTTTGGCTTGTTGGCGTGAGTTAAGGGGAAAAGGCTTGTTTATGTGTCGGAGACTTTTCATGGTGTTCTGAAGGCAAAAAAAAGGCCCTGAGCAGAGAGCCGGCGCCTGCGACACCTCTCCACCGTCTGTTTTAAGCCTTCATAAACACTTCGTAACAGCAGCCATAAACAAATAGGAACAAAGAACATATTTTATGGGACTTAAAAGATGGCCCCAGATAGTCCCTTTTTGTGCAGATGGAGAATTGCGTGTCCAAGATGTTCTCATCTGAATTACTCATCACTGAATCTGGCTCTGTGTTTCAGCTCTGGGGTTAGATCACTTTACTTTGGAATGAGCTCCAAAGACATATTTTAATTCAGAATAGCTGGGTGCTATCGCCTTGATCTCATCAGCCATCAGAAATTAAAATAATAATAAAAAAATAAAATAAAAAAACGTCTTTTGACTTTCCAGATCAGATTCTAATTCAGGCCTAGTGTGAACCATATACTCTATCATTGCTGTTGAAACAAAACCTTTTTTCTCTTTTTTTTGCATAATTTGAAAGTCCCAGCAGTCATTTATATTCTGTCAAAATTGAGTGACACATGGACAAATAGAAATGGTCCAAAATGACTTAGAACAAAATCTTGTTGCATTAACCTGGGTGTATCCAGGGGTGGGGTCACAAGGTACTGGGCCCAGTAAAAATCTGATCTGGCCCTTAAATGCCACTGTTGAGCTCAATGAACTGAATCATTCTATAGCAGTTTATTTCCCTGTGTTTTTCTTTTTTGGAGTGCACCAGAATGCTTAATTTTCACGTTAAAATTATTCAATTTTGTTCTGGTGGGAAAAATGTTGTCTGTCACCTAATTGAATGTTAAACACACTGAGTAATATATGGAATTAACTGTATCAGTAGTGTTGTTGACGATTTATAAAATGTTTAAAGACATTTATTTGGCCCCAGAACAGAAACTGTGGCCCCCTTATGGCACCACCAAAAAATACTAGAATCACCACTGCTTACTTTGAAAGTTAAGAACATGTTTTCCTTCTCCTGTAAAGTAACTACTGCTGGATGTAAGGTTATATATATTATATAATATATTAAAGGAAAACTCCAGCATTTTTTAACCTAATCTCTATTCACCGCTTCTGTACTACATGGTGATAACCACAATTTTAACAAGTTTACATTTTAGTTAACTATTTAGTTAAAGTATAGGAAACTTGTTGCATGAAATGAAACCTATTACATTAAATTCAACTCTAACAGGTTGTTATGTAACTATCCTGCCAACTCTTCCTCTTTATCGTGCTTTTTTACCATCCTTCTGCCCTCTCCTGTCTGCCTCCCACTTGACGCTGTTTTGATGTGCATTTGTATTGACCTCTGACCTTAAGGGGTCAGTGGATTGGCCCATTGCTCTCACACAGCGGGTCAGCACTGATAAATATGTTGAAGCCAGTTAATGAGTATACATTTGGCGCCCTTAAGGGCCCACTCAGTGGATTTGGGATGCTGCAAAGCCCTCGAGTGCACTAGAAAGGGGGAGTCATTGTGCTTAGAGGTCGCCCTGAAGGGTACTTCAGTCCAAGATAAAAGTACATGGGAACAGTCTGGAGTCAGCGTTCACAAACTCTGTGCTCCGGCACTGAATAATGCGGCACAGGGCTTTGTGTATACAACTGTCTTCAGCCCTCTTATTATCCAGCTACAGGGGGGAATTACATAAAATGCAACTGCAGCCTGCACTCTTTTTAGCAGACTCTTGCATCTATCACAAAAATATGCCAAAGGCTAAAAATATGCCATACAATTCTTAAAACATACAGGTCCAACCACATGGGACTTCAGGAAACGTTTGGAGGCTTCGAACTGTCCGCATTGTGTGTGTGTTTAGTCTGTACGGTCAAGTTTGTCTCAGTGAGACTGGGTGGTCTACGCTAAACTTAGCTACACAAAGCTAGGCAGTGCTAAACTAAGCTAAGCCACGTTCCTCAGAAATAAGAGTCATGGTTGCATCAGTGGTGCCTGAGAATGCAGGAGCTGTTTGAAGTATGGAGCATGTATTGGGTCATGGGGAAAAGGGTGTGATGTGAAGTGGGTGTGGGTGGCAAGGGAGTTTTTTCTTAATGAGGACCCTTGAGACAGGTGTCCAGACATTTTGACGACCAGATCTCAGGGCCTTGACACATCAAGCTGACTGTTGGCTGTTGGACAGCATTAGGCTGTCGCTGAGCATCGGTGGCAGATCATTGCCCGTGGTGTATCATGCACGGATAGCTGTAGGTGGTCCTTGTCAACACTGTTTTGGCTGATTACAAAGCTGAATCATTGTCAGCTGTGCAAGAACTTTGATTGGCTGTTCAGTCTAACGAATCAGCACAAAAAGTTGAATGTAAAGCAAAATTTGCACAGAACACATTAGACGATAAGGGTTCTGATGGCAGGCGATGATCAGTTGGCCTCAGATGGTGCTAGTTTGTTGACGTCGGCTTGGTGTGTCTGAGCCCTCACACCTCAAAAGCACACACCTAAACTTTCTTCAGAGGTGTCTGTTGGACTGTTGAAATCTTGCCTGTTCAAGCTAACGTTAAAAACACCTGATGAACCGCAGCAGTGGTAGAGCAAGACACTTAATATAGTCATACTCTACTAGAAGAAAGAACGATGAGGTAATAAAAGGTCAGCTGGAGCTTGATGTGCATGAGAATACTGCTTAAGAATGTCTTGAGACTGTGCAGCTTATATCAGGCCTAGTATGAAGAAGAGGACAGGGAGAGAGAGAGAGAGAGAGAGAGAGAGAGAGAGAGAGAGAGAAACTCATACTAATAATAAACCTCCATCCATCATCCAGACAACAAGCAATTAGCACATTCCGCACTGCCCAACCCGTATGCTCCACTCTAACCCCTTTGCTGCTTTGCTGTATGTGTTCATGTGTGTGTTTCCGGAAGAGAAGAGAGCTTGTCAAAAGGGCAAGGAAAGGAGACTCTGTGTGTATTTGGCTGTTAAGGTTTTGATCTAGATGTTGCACATGATGGCTTGTGTGTGTATGTTTTTGAGCGCCAAGTTTGAGTCAGCAGAGCCTGAATACAGTCATTTAAAGGGGAATTCCATAATTTTTTCAAAATTTTCACATAATTTAATCTTTGAGATCTTGAAGTGTTTTAAAGTGGTTTGATGTGAAATGCTCTGTTCTTGAGAAACTTAATGACTCAGATTTCTTTATAGTGGTGGAGACAGGAACCCAGGGTTCCAGTGTCTACAACATAAATATAGCCATTTTACTTTTCAAACCACCAGCGAACCTAAATGTCTTTTATATATGTTTTATACGTGATATTGATAATGGTAAAATAATGGTAAATCTGAAAAAAAAAAAAAAATTTCTTCAGGTACTGTTTTGCTTTACAACGTACCAAGATGAATTTCAAAAAATGCGTTTTAGGCCAAAACTTTATCTCGGAGTAAACATAAAACAGTGTCTCAGGCAACCGGCTAAGTATTCGGCAACCAGGCCCCCTAAAATCTTTATTGGGCCCCCTCATATAGATATGGTACACTCATGACTCACAGAAAGATTCAGTTTCTTAACAAAATATCTCAGCAGGTTAGAAAATCTATAATATAGTTTAGAAAATCTATAAATCTCAAAAGATTAAAGTGAGTTCATTCAAATAATATATTAAATTGTGTATTTCATCAAAATATGTATGTTGCATAGCAAGCGTTCTCAGGAATCTGTGTGACTTCTTTATTTGGCCGGTGGTTTATCAGACACATAATTATTGTGATCTAAATAGGTAGACTGTCGTTAACATTTTGTTTAATTTTAGATGGTAGTGGGTGGGGTGATGTGCCTTAAGTCATAATAGTGAGTAAATAAGCAAACTACATTATCAAACTTGTACATTCTTTTAGCAGTTGACAGACAGCTTTGTGTTTTGAAAACCTGTTGCTGCGATTCCAAAACTAGCTTTGCAGCTGCTGTCTTTTTACTTTACTAGGCCCAGATTTCTTAGTCATAAATCATACAGTGTGAAACTGCAAAAATTGACTTTACATTACAGTACAATACATCACACACATGATTTTGAAGTGTACCTACCCAGTACCCTGTATCTACCCAGTGAGAACTGAACATGTATTACAATATAAAAATACATGTTCAGTTCTCACTGGGTAGATACAGGGTACTGGGTAGGTACACTTCAAAATCACCAGCTATCATCTCACACTTCTCTTTTTTATAATTTCATCCAAATGTTTACAGCACTCTAAAGAGAGAATATGTGGGTGTGTGTTTTTGGTATCCTCGTCATCACTGTCTATGTATCATTGCTATTGTCATGTTCTTCTGAAGTGTTCTTCAGAGTACCTTTGGCTACCACTCATCTCTCTCTCTCTCTCTCCCTTTGTCATAGGACCCACTGGAAGAAGCTTGTGCTGAGGGTATTAGTGATGAACATTATCGTTTAGAAGGTAAGACTCTCCAATAAGTTCATCTTCTTTTCTTTGTCTCAAATTGGAGTGGGCGATTTGGCAAAAAATGTTATATGAGAATACTTGAAAATGATGTTCACGATATGATATGTATCACAATGTTTTGTTTTTCTGAGATTTAATAAGTTGGAACAGACAATTACAAACTCTACTGCACAAAATGCAATTTTGCTCCTTTTGTAATGAGACGTATTTGAAGAAAGAAACAGCAGTGTTCTTTAAGTACTGACAATGGTGTGATCATTTAAAACGATAACAATAACATATCATCATATTGTCCACCCCTACTCTCAAACCTCTGTATGTCACATAGCAGAGAGTTCTTATTTGGCCAATGGGTAATCAAACAGCTAAGTGTGTGTGTGTGTGTGGTTTTATATATATATATATATATATATATATATATATATATAAATAGGTGTATATAGATGTGGCTGCAGCTGAATTTCTTAGTTTTAACCTCATGCCATGTTGTTCCAAGGAAAAAACAACCCTAGACAGTCAAAACAAGTCCGCACTGACCATAGACAAAACAATAATAGTTTTAGTTCTTTTTTCTTGAAAAGTAAAATGTGGAATCTGTGTAAAAAATTGATCACCCCCTTTACACTGAATCACTGAAGAAAATAGTCCTGTGAATGTTTTGGACATTGAAGTCAGCAGTCTACGAAGGTCTGAACTAAAGTATAAGCTGCTGTTTTCTTGCTTTTTCTCTGTCTGTCTTTCTCCCTCACCATTTCAATTCAGTCTTGCTCCTCTGCCCATTTGTTGCTTTCCTGTTCTCATTCTCTCTCTCTCTTTCTTTCTTTCTCTCTCTCTCTCTCTTTCTCTCTCTCTCTCTCTCTCTCTCTCTCTCGTTCTCGCTCTCTCTCACACACACACTTTTTCTTTCTCTGCCCATGTTTCACCACGTTGTCTATTTTTCAGTGCAGTTCCAACTGTTCTTATTCTTTGTGATTTGACCCCTGGGTTAGAGCCTGAGAGAAGTGGGGCTGCTTCTCTCTCTCTTGTTCTCATTTTCTGTTGTAGCATCTCGGCTGGAAAAGAGCAGAGAGGTCACCCGGGGCACTCCCGGAACGAGGGACGAGTCCCTCCGTTAAGCCCTCTAGAGATTTCCCACGCATGATTGGTTGGGTTTGGTTTGTTTGTACGGCCGAAAGGTCATTAAAGGTCACAAGCAAGGGCCTCTCGATCATTACGCACGTAAGCCCACCTTTAGCTCGCGCTTGATTGTGATTGGCCCATTTGTAGTGTGTGGTATCTAAGGTCAGTCGTAGAGAGATGCGATTGGTTGAGAATAAGCTGAGGTTTTAGATGGGTTAGTAGTATCTTAGCGAAGTGAGCTCGCTGTGTCTGAGCTTCGATTAGAATAAGTAGTTTTAAAGTTTTAAAGCTCACTTTATCATATACTGCTATAATCTCTGCAAGATAATAATCGTTGCCGGCATAAGATAACCTCGTTTTTCTGAAATGGAAACTTTATAGATTCGCTTCATGCTTTTAACTTAATGTACATTAATGTAATGATATTTTCTTTCAATTTTGCACCATTTCTATTGGTCCATTCATCATACAATATTCACAAAGCTGGCAGCTGATGTTTTCACATGGTATTGAAAAACAAATACATGGAGTCAAAAGGTTTTGTTATGACAGCAACAATAAACTTGTTATACCTGAGTATTTATGCTGTGTATTGATTAGGGAGATAATAAAGCACTAAATCACATCACTTGGGTGCCCAACAAGAATTCATGAAATATGAATTTGGTATGAAATTAAGCATCACTTGTTGAACTGCACAGGAAAACACAATAAGAAAGAACAAATAGTCCTGGGTGAATGCTGGACCCCATTTTCCCAACTTTTTCCTTGGAAATTGCTTTGCCATTAGTAGCAGTATCAGGCTGTCACATAGGACATTAGCATTAACTTCAAATTCATGCACTGTGCATTTCAGATGTTTTCACACAGTTCAGCTTTAACTTTTTCCCCAGTTTGCCTGATCGGGCAAGTGCATTGAGAGTTTACTGTCTCGAAAAGAGCTTATACTGTTCTCAACAAATTTTTTTGCTTATAGAAACATCTTACAAATGTAAGTAAGTGCCAGCTTGCCTGCTTTACGTCTTTCCTGCTCTGTGCATTTAGGCATTTGTTATTGTTGACCCCTATTTCACAAGTTTGAGTGAAAAGTTTATTTAATCCTGTCACATTGCTGATAATCCCACACCTGTGCGATATTGCAAATGTGTTGCTGTCTAGGATGGAATCGATATAGTGACTCCAAAATAGCAACACCTCAAACCAACACTCATAGGCCTAATATATACTTTTTAATTTGCTGATAAAGTTTTCACTTAGTCATATAATTGCAGATTCAGCAGCTGCACAGTCATGCTGTGAATCTCCAGTTCTACCACGTCCCAAGGGTGTTGTATTGGATTGAAATCTGGAGGCCACTGACATACACTGCACTCTTTATAATATTCATAGAATCAGTTTAAGATGACATGTCCTTTGTGACAAGGTGCTTTATCGTACTGGAAGTATCGGTTAGAAGAAGAGTAAATTGTGGCCATAAAGTGATGCACATGGTAAGCAAGAAAACTCAGGAGACAGACAAGAGAGGGAAGAAAGGATGACGGAGAGGGAGTAGAGGCGAGAGCAAGGGAAACGAGAGAGAGAAATGGTTGGTGACAGTATAAACTCTACACACTCTCCTCTGCCTGTGGCTATAGGATGATCCTCCAAACAAAACGTTTGGGATTAAAAGACAGCAAGGCTAGCAAAATGAGAGTTCTGAAACTTCAGACATCAGAAGAGGCTGGAAGTCTGCTGGCTGGTTCCTTTCTTCAGATGTATGCAAGTAACTGATCTTGTAGTGGTACTGTTGTGTCTTGAGTAGCGTAAACATTCTTGGTGCTCTGTTGAAGGTGAGCTTACATGTGAAATGCTTGTCTTTTGAGACCAGACATGATCTCCTAACATGTCTGGGGACAACTTGTTAAACTTTTGATGCTGAGTTAAGGCAAAATCTGCTGCAAAACAAGGGTACGGCCCTACAAAAACCGCCTTAAGATTCCTCTAGTCAGTGCTGTTTTATCATCCAGAGTAGTTGATAACAAAAGCTAAACAAGCTAGCTAGTAAAACGTTCCTGAAGTGTTTTTCCTTTCCTTTTTTATTTGTTTAGAATCTGCATGCTTAATTAGACTTTGTATGAGACTTTTCAGGCATGCTGAGCTAACTTACGTTACGTCCACAGGCTGAAAACGGGCTTGTTGCCCTTTGGGCAATGTTGACGAGTGCATAATCGCCTCCCTAGTGTGGAGAGTTGCAACACAAAACATGTCTTTGGGGTTTGTTAAAAGCTGAAGGGCTCTCCCAAGTGAGTCCAAAATGAGCTTTTATAAAGCTTTTGTGCAAAATCACTCTTCGTTAATGCTTAATAATTTTTGTAGTCATGTTTTTTTATATAATCAGAGAAATAGAAAGTGGCCAGTCTCCCCTTAACTAGCTGTGCTCCTAGTTTGAGCTCCACCACCATGATCTGGATTGGTTTAAAAAAATTTACTCCCAATAAGTATGTTTCCACACACATTTAGCCCCAAATCTCTAATGGTTGTCATGAGACATTCACTTTTCATGATCACATCTGGGCCCGCAAGACTGAAGCAGTGCTAACGACTCTCCCCTGAACTTTTTGTCAGGGTCCACAGTTCAGGACCAACCTGTGTGTATGTGTGTGAAAAAGACAGAAAGAGAGAGTCTGTATGACTGTACCTGTGGCCATGTGCTGCTGTGTGCTCGCATGCTTCACACTTATGTGTGTGCGCTGGGCTACTGTAACCCCTTCAGGCTACTCATTACCCCTCCAGATAAGTATCTCAGAAACATTGCGGACGGGCTGGCGAGCAGATTTTTGCCCTCACTCACAATGTTGCCTTTGAGTATCTAGCCCTGATCAAAAGCCCAAAGCCGCTGCTATTTCCCTGAAAAAAAAAAGTCTGTAAAAGCTCCCTGGGACGATTCCTTTCATTCTCTGGCGCTTTTCTTTCTCTTTTTTTATCACTCCCTCTCTTCTCTCTGCCGAGGGACAGGACAGGTCCTCTTTGATCTGAGCAGATCAGCAGAAGGGGGGTGTGGGGAGCGAGAGAGAGACACTGTTGTGTCTGCCGATCCCTTTGGCTCACACAACAAACACTGTTTTAGATTTGACTTTGCTTAATTAATTAGAGATTCTGTTTAACAGACGGACTGATCCTTGGCCAAAAGGTTTGAGAATGGAACTTCAAAGCGTGGGGATTGGGGGCAGGGGGGAGGATTTAGCCTGCAGGACACAGGCTGGCGTGGAGTAGAGCCTCCTCCCTGCTCAGCGTTAGATCTACTGCTGCCGTCTGCAACATCTCCCACACGAATCACAACCCACGAACAGCACAGCTGCGAAATTTGAGAATTTACCAAGAGTGGCTCATCTTTCCCATAGAATGATCGTTATCTGAGCTGAACTAATAGTGACTCAGGCTGCATGTCGTTCATAAGTTTTCCATACAGATACCAATATCTTATTGATAATCCTGAACAATACCTTTTTTTCGATACCTTCTTTTAAAATCACAAACTGAAAGTGGGTGTGACTTAAAACAGAAATGAATGTGAGATGCTATAAATGTACAGACTAATTAAGTGCTGACATTAACATGCATAGGGAATGTAATTTAAAGAGCCAATCAGCAGTCCAGATTTTTGAACAGTCATGCTTATTGGCTTACTGGCACTGAAAAGATCAGCTACTGAGGTTGGACTTAAAATTAGGGCTGCACAATAAATCGCATAGTTATCGCGATATTAGTGTTCATGATAAACTTAGCAAATTACCAAATACACACAGAGCCAGAGAGACATCATTACATTGCCAGCACAAACCATTAGAAGCCATTCTAGAAGCCTAGAAGTGCATCTCTGCTCTGGGGTTAAACCCTGCTGCTCTCCCATGTGGGAGACGAGTAACTTCAAACATTAGGATTGTTCTCGCACCCAGTATTGTTTTAAGTGTGCAAGGCAGTAATGATACAACAAACATATTTAATAACTAAACAAAAATAAATTAAAAAAATAATTATGTGCCTTTATATATTTATTTGTTTTTGAAGTCTTTATAAGCTGTTGAGGTAATGTGCTTGCAGTTCTGATGTAAGTAGCTGTTAGTACTTCATTTCTTTTTATTATGCCCAATAGAGAATGCTTTTGTAATTTTGTATCCTATTTGCTTAAAGGAGAGGTTAGTTAGATTTCTGCCGACACATCTAATAAAACGTCTGTACTTGTGTCACATCCAGTCAGAGGCACAATATGTTAATAATAATGAATCGCTTCTCACATCGTCCTCTTGATATATGACAGCTTTATCAAACATCATATTTTATATCAATATCGTACAGCCTCACTTGGAATGTTTCGAAACTCTGTAATACTCTGTAATATTGAAGTTCAGTCATTACCTTCAAAGTTTTGAATTTCGATACTCAATCCTAATAGTGAAAATGAAGTTAGGAACATTGTAATGTTTATTTGTAAACTTCGCAGAAAAATCACCTATTTCACATGTGAAGTGTGCAAAAAAACGTGTTTACAAGTTATGGCTTGTTTTTTCACATGTAAACACTTTGTTAGCTGTGTTTCTGCTTATGGGGTAGTAGAGTCTAGATTGAGTAGTTTAGCCCACTTTTTAAGCCCTATTTGAACTAGATTAGGTTTACCTGGGCAGGTAATAATCCCGGGGTGAATTCCCTTGTATAATTTGCTACAGCAGTCCTGTTTGAATCAACCTTACAGTAATGTAATAACAAAAGACATAAGATCTATAGCTAGTGTTATGTGTGCCTGATTTCTTGTGCTTGTTATGGTGAAGAATGAGGTGATGCTTCAGTCCACTTGCTATTATGTTGGAATTCTCCTTCCCTCTTCTCCCTTCTCTGTCCCTCTGCCTCTCTCTTTGTTTGATTTCTCTTCTCTCTCTTTCTGTAACAGCCTTAAAAAGAACAGAGAAAACTAGAGCAGTCATAACACTTCTAATTCTATACAGTGTCTTTGGAACATGCATGACATCCTGTTTGTGTTCTGCCCCCCTCTGTAGTGGCCCTGCCCCCTGAGAAGATTGACAGCTGCGGTACAGAGGAGAAGATGCAGGAAAGAGAGAGCGCCGTCCCCGCTGGCCCACACAAACAGCTACAGTTTGAGGTAATAATATGAGATCACACACTATAAGTAGTGATGTCCAGTCTTTTGCCTCTAGACTAATAGTTTGTCTATCAGAGGATAGTAAATATTTCTACTCTGACAGTGACAGTATTTTAAACAATTAGAGTGCACCTCTGTCCTGAATAACCAGTTACATGTTGATAATGGTTTGTACATGTTAATCTGATTCTTGATCAGGAGCTGGAGTGTGCTGTTTCAGTTGAGGAGGATAACAGACAGGAGTGGACGTTTACTCTGTATGACTTTGACAATAATGGCAAGGTCACGAGAGAAGTAAGAGCACATCTCAAATGCATCCTACATTCTGTATTTATAAGTTATCTACCTTCACAAACTCACACATAAAGCCTTCCAGTTTGTTATGAGGCTGCATGTTTGTGTAAGTTTTTTTAACATTATCTTGGGAGACATGGGACCATTGTTATGGCAAACTGTACTGTGCACAGGGCTGAGTATTGTTAAATGCTATTTATTAATTAATGAATTGAATACTATATATTTAAATAATATATATCGCTGCTGTCAGAACCAAACCTCATTTCTCCAAAATGGTAACTTTATAAGAAAAGGAAAAAATATTCCTTACTTTTAATGTGACTTAATCTAACCAGACTTTTTTTTAGTTTTGGGCCATTTCTATGGTCCATTCATTATGAAATTTACACACGATGAGTGTGTTTACATGCACTAAATAATCCGATCTTAATCAAATTTCTGCAGTTATCCAGTTATTCAAATGGTCATGTAAACACCATACTCCAATCTAGAAATCCGATTAAGAAATCCGATAAAGAGAGCTGGATTTTAGCTCAGCAATCAGATTTCTCAGCACATATATACTCTTACTCAGATTTCTTTCGGATTTCTCAGTCTGCGCCTGAAAATAAGCAAGTGGCTTTGGTGCGAGATGGCAGCAAAACACTTTTTGGGCGACGCTGAAACCAACTACATGCTCGACAAAATGAAGGATTTAAATATTCTTTATCTTCTAGATGATGTATGTTCATATTTTCAGGTAAAGTGTTTAAAGCCACAGCATGAAGTTTGATTTTACATTACGTTTACCTCATGTGTTCTTCTGTGAGTCTATTGGCTTGTTGCAAAGCAGAAATCCGATGCCTGATACTGCCTGACTCATGTAGACCCGGAGTTTCCCATTATCGGATTATTAAATGCATGTAAACTCACTCAATGTAAAGGGCACCGGGCATTTTCAGGTTATGACAAAAACTGAAAGACAAAAAAAATTGGAGATACAAGGTTTTGTTCCTACATCAGGGACTGGATGCTGAATCTCGGCTCTAAAGTGTGCAGCATAGCGCGAAAGCCCTGGTTCTCAACGACTGAGAACAGACAGCAGACAGCAGGTCACATAGCACCGAGATCTGGCCTCGCCAGTAGCGAACGAAAAAACAGAGATTCGCATTTATAAGCAGTGCGGTTGGTTAAATCTGCAACGAGAGTTAAAAAAAAGTTGCGAAAATGAACTCGCTTCTCTTTTGAATTTTCCCGTTCCACCTTAAATGGTCCGGCAGTTACATTCGGCGTCTAAGGCAGAATTTAAGGTGAAACGGGAGAATTAGAACGAGAAGTTGGCGAATGAGAAGCGACCTCAGCCTCGTGAGACATTTTACAAGAAACTCTTCTAGTTTTGAAGAAAAGTTTTCTGGCGGAGATGGGAGGAAAGCGGCTATAGCTAAAGCTTAAAGCAGAGCGAAGTAAATCTGCGCTCTCGTTTATATTTTTAGCCCATACTAGGACATTAACACATACTGGACATTAAATGTTGCGGCTCCCAAGGTGGTTTGACTTTGTTGAAAGACAAAATGGCTCTTCTTAACATTTGTGTTGTGACTCCTGATCTAACCTGGCTTTAACGCAGAGGGAGCCGCTCGGATTTCTCACTCATCCAGTAGTGTTTTTGTTATGTGCTGCCACAGACTGTCCAGGAGCTGCACTTACCCACTTCCAGTTCAGCCTTTTGCATTCCGTCAAGATTACGGTATATATTAAATATTGAGAAAATCGATTTTTGAAATTTGTGAATCGATTCAGAATCGTTCACGTCCGCATCGCGATGCATCTAAGAATCAAGTTTTTCTTGCACCCCTAATATATATATATATATATATATATATATATATATGTATATATATATATATATACCCCTGAGCCAACAGCACGTGACTGAGGTGCCCTTGAGCATGGCACCTAACCCCCAACTGCCCCCGGGCGCTGCAGATAGGGCTGCCCACCACTCCGGGCAAGTGTGCTCACTGCCCCCTAGTGTGTGTCTTCACTAGTGTGTATGTGGTGTTTCACTGCATGGATGGGTTAGATTGCAGAGATGAAATTTCCCCATTGTGGGACTAATAAGGGTAATTATATATATATATATATATATATATATATAGTATTTAAAAGCTGGTACACAATTTTGTACACATTTTACAAATCTGTGCTGTTGACCACAAATTACTGTGATTGACCCAGTTTTCTCTCTCTTTCTCTCTATCTCTCCCTCTCGCTCTTTCAGGATATCACTAGTTTGCTGCACACTATCTATGAGGTTGTGGATGCCTCAGTGAATCACTCGCCCAGCAGCAGCAAAACACTCCGGGTGAAACTGTCTGTCGCACCGGACGCCAGCCAACGATTGCGGAATTGTACTCAGACCAATACAGGTAGGGAGAGAGAGTAAAATAGTAGAAGAATAGTAGTTAAAAAAGAAAGCATGGGAAAAGGCTTGAATTGAAGTGTGCGAAAGCGAGAGAGGTACCTGACAATTGTGTGTAGCCTTCAAAGCTGAATGGCTTTTGTACATCAGAGCAGCTTCTGACAACTCTCAAGCTACGCCCTCTCATCTTCTCCTTTCTTATTTCAGTGTGAAAACTGAAAGATGGCTGCATTTAGCTTAATTTTTGGAATGCGTGACATGATGAACATGAGCAATGAGGGTGAAAAAGGGGAGGATTAAAGAGAGAGAGAGTGTGTTTGTTTATGAGCTGTCATTTGAACTATTTATATGCATTGTGCATTTGAAAGTGACGGTGTTTGAAAACTGAGGCAATCTTCAAACTGCATCAGATCCCTCCACATTAATGAACTCTTCTATGTGTGTGTGTCTGTGTGTGTGTCAGAAAAAGAAGGAGAGTGTGTGTTTGGCTTTATATGAGCCCCCTCAGTTGAAAATAGAATAAATGAAGCATTGTTGTTTTTCCTCTTTTATAAATCTTCAAAGTAGAAAGCAGGGAACAAAGGTTTGTTTCTTTCTTTGGTTGGTCTGTGTGACTGTGCGTGTGTGTGTGTGTGGGTGTGCGTGTGTGTGCACGTGTGTGATGCTGACGAGCTCAGCACAGTTTCCTTTGATAATAGCCTCTCTCTCTCTTTCTCTCTCTCTCATTCTTTCTCTCTCTCTCTTTCTTTCTTGCATTCCCTGGCTTTCTTAGACACACCACACCCCAGACTCAAGGGAGAAAAGTGCTTTGAGGAGCCCAAGAGCTCAGAGAAGAAGTCCAGAGCCCTGCTGAGGTACCGAGCTGCACTATTCGCTTTCCTTATGATCAGAACTCAAACAACTGCAGTGCTTATAACTGTAACATTTATTGTGTCAGTGAATTTTTCCACTTTAAAGGGCCCGTATCATGGTGAAGAACGTCGTCCATGATTTACTTTTTTTTTTAAATAAAAGAGTTTAATGTTGTATGTAAACACTGCGACATTTTCATAATGTATCTCCAGTCCTTAGAGTCCAAGTATGGAAACTAAGCTGTAAACACAGCTCAATTCGAATTCATTGTTTTGTCACACATCCACAGATTCAGTCTATATCCATTTAGCCCCACCCATTGACACTGTCATAAGAAGTGTTTCAGCCCAGACCTTTTGGATGAGGCACAATACAGGGCAGACAGTAAAGCTTGGTTATAATTTACATGTGTCAGTCTTAAAGGCAGAGTAATAAACACAGCCTCTTTAATTCTTAGGGATAAAGAGAGCTTGGAAAAACATCATAAGTGGACATCAAGGGAAAAAGCAATGCAAAATGCAAGAAAAGAAATTTAGGATATGAGTCCTTTAAGCAGAAGATGTCATGTGACTTTCTTGTAAACACTAAGGTGACACAGGACAACAGATAAGATAATCATTTACATGGAGAACAATGCAGATAATATAAAGCTCTTCAGGAGTGTTTAATGTTTCCAAAGTCCTGCTGCAACTCACAGGCTAGTTTTTAGTACTAAAACAAACAGTATGCTCATTTAAAGCACTCTGTTTGGTCTGATTCATGGGATAGCCGAGCACTGTTTAGAACCTTAAGGTAAAATCTTTAGTAACAAAGCATTTGATTACATTCTGCATGTAAGACTAATGAAAAATAACATTGTCCTTGATCCTTCACCACTTCCATTTCTTGTTGCTGTAGGCGTTACCATAGTGACCACCACACGCAGCAGGGCTGCCAGAGGCACTGTGTAGACGAAAACCTGGAGAGGAGGAACCATTATTTGGACCTGGCTGGCATTGAGAACTACACCTCACGCTTTGGAACGGGTGAGATTAGCAGTATATTATAAACAACTGTGTTACAATTTTCAGAATTTTTTATACTGGTGTGAGGGTGCATGAGCTTGTCCAGCTGAGCCGTTAGACTGATGTTTGGTCTAAAACAGAAAAACTGGCTAAAAAAAACTGCTAAAGCTAGCAAGCTAAGAGACTTTTCACTGCCCTGCAGGATTTGTTAAAGCACTCTGTTTACAAACTGTGCAAAACATCTCAATTGTGGATGGGTCAAAATTGATTCATGGCAAATGAGTTTTCCATGAGGGAGCTTCCCTCTTGTATATCTGCCAATAAACACTGCGATTGATTTTACTCAATGGATTTTTGCATGGCGAGGTGGTAAATCAAATTAGTTACATTATATAGGTACATTGTGAGGTCAATAAAAAATACACTAAATGGACAAAAGTATTGGGACACCTACACATTATACTGACAGAAGCTTTTATGGCATCCCATTCCAAATCCATAAATATTTCTATGGAGTTGGTCCCCCCTTTGCAACTATAACAGCTTCCCCTCTTCTGGGAAGCATTCTACAAGATTTTGGAGTATGTCTTTGGGAGTTTTGCCTGTTCATCCAGAAGAGCATTTGTGAGGTCAGACACTGATGTTGTTCGAGAGGGTCTGGCTTGTAATCTCTGTTTTAAGGCATCCCAAAGGTGTTCGATAGGGTTGAGGTCAAGGTTCTGTGCGGTCACCCAGCCATGCCTTTATGGACCTTGCTTTGTGCAATGGGGCACAGTCATGCTGGAACAGAAAAGGGCCTTCCTCAAACTGTTCCCACAACGTTGGAAGCATACAATTGTCCAAAATGTCTTGATATGCTGAAGCATTGAGATTTCCCTTCACTGGAACTAAGAGACCTAGGTCAATTCCTAAGAAACAGCCCTATAACATTATCCCTCCACCAGACTTTATAGTTGGCACAATGCAGTCAGGCAGGTAACGTTCTCCTGGCATGTGCCAAACCCAGACTCGTCCGTCAGGCTGCCGGATGGAGAAGCATGATTTGTCACTCCACAGAATACATTTAAACTCTCGGCCCCCCCTTAAGTGATTCAACAGAGGATAGGCACTGTGCACTTCAGCACTCAGCTGCCCACTGTGAGTTTGCGTGGTCTACCACTTCGTGGCTAAGCTGTTATTACTCCTAGCTGTTGTTGCTTCCATTTCACAATAATACCGCTTACAGTTGACAGGGGCAGATCTAGCAGGGCAGAAATTTCACAAACTGTGACAGAGGTGGCATCCTATGACAGTGCCATATTTAATGTCACTGAGCTCATCAGTATGACCCATTCCGCTGCCAGTGTTTGTCTATTGAGATTGCAAGGCTATGTGCTTAATTTTTTCCACCTGTTAGCAGTGGGTGTGGCTGAAACACCTGAACTGGGTTTCCCAATACTTTTCTCCATATAGTGTGTGTAGTGAATGGATAGTCTGCCTGGAAAAGTCAAAACTACCCAAGCACAAAATGTCTGCTGTGGTAGAGGGGTCACTGAAAGGTAGTAAGCCATTTAGCCAAATGGTGAGTTATGAAATTTTGGCTTTAACACCCAAAATTCCACTTTATGTCCAGTATGGAATTGTGCACACCTGGCTGAATCCAAAGTGGTTCTTTGCTAGACATCCTGTGCACTGTTTAGACGCAGTAGTCATTATTTTAAGACCTACATTGTGTACTTTGCAGGGAGAAAGGTGTCATTTCAGATTCTGCCTAAAACGGCAGTGTTGCGTCACCTGATCTGAATACTGATTCACTGAATGGATTTATCGGGTTCTGTTCGAGAACAACACCAGCATTTCACTGTTTCTGCTATAAAACGTGAACTTGCAATGCCTTGACAATGGACCATAACGGCTTTTGTGACAAAAAGTATTTATGTACACATCTACTACAGAGAACACACTTCTGCATATTTTGATGCACAATTACTGATTATTTGCTGAATTTAACATATTTCAGTTTTTCAAATATGTTAAATTCAGCAAATAAATCTATATTGTGCAATAAAATGTGCAGAAAAATTACATATTTAGGTTATATTTCCCTTTAGATGATGTGTTACAAACTCAACAAAACATGTAATTTGACCAGCAGTGTTAAAGTTTTGCAAACGACTGTATAACTGTGATAAAATAAAACAAACATATATGTTCTTCCAGCTGCGCCCATCTCTGAGCCACCCAAACCTGACCAACATGCCCCACGCTCAGCCAATCAGACGCGTTCCAGGTCCCATGAACCAGAGAATGGCCACGCCTACCCCTCATCCCACCACCGCCGGTCACACACCATCTCCACAGAAACTCCAGCCCTGCAGGACGGTCTGTGTCCTCGCCCCCGAGCCCTGGACTCCACTCGCCACACACATGGCTTCCGCTCACCCAAACCCCACCATCGCACTCCCCCAGCACAGGCTTCTTCCAGCAGGGTTATGAAGAGGGGTGCCCCTCCGCCCCCGGCCCTGCCTGTTCAAGCCGGACCCCATCAGAGCTCGGGACCCTACCGCCGGCACAAGCAGCGGCCTAAGGAGGGAGGGCCCTCGTCTCGGGCGCTGGGTCCAGCAGTGACCACTGGACCCGTGGTGGAAAAGGAGCAGGTGAGGGAGCTGCCCAGCATGGTGCTGTATGAAGGAGGCCTGGCACAGGTGGTGCAGCGGCACGAGCACCACCACCATCATGAGCACCATTACCACTATCACCACTTTTACCAGTCGTGAGGAGCGCCACTGGCAGCCTGGGACCCCAAGGCTCAGTGGAGGAATGAGTGAAGGAATTAGGTCTGGAATACGATGGCTGAGCCAAAACTGATGGACAGTGGACACCAAGTTAAAGTGGCTGATTGTACTTTTGTATGTACATGGACGGTTGAGCAAGTGTGTGTGAGTCTGTGTCACACAGCCTTCAGTCTTTTCAAATGCTAGGATGGCAAAGGGTTCTGGACAGATTACAGGCTTGGAAAGGGCTATATCTCTTTCTTTTCTCACCCCTATGTTCTCTTGGTCCTTCTTGTTGCCCCTCTTTCGGTCTATGTGAAGCTGAGGTCCCTAAAAAGGGTCACGACTGTTAAATGAAGGATTGTTAACTATGAAGGAAAGGGAGATGTTAGATAGAATCTCCTTGTGTGCATGTCTGTGTTCCTGTACAGTACCAGTGAAATGTTTGGACACACCTGTTTGAATGTATGGTGTTCATATATGTTTGATATAAAGACTTATGCTTAAGACAAGACAAAGTAGCAAAGTTGACCTGTATATGAATTTGTGAAATATTTATTTAAATGCCTCTAAGAAGTGGCTTTCAGCAGCTGCCAAGGTCTCAACATATACAGAACCTCTGCAAGACAGTTGGAAAAGCATCTCAGGTAGTTAAAACCGTAAACCGTATTTAAAATTCTTATCAGACAGCAAAATCATAATTCAGGACACATTGGGCCAAAAACTGAAAAACTAACAATAAATAAATTTACATTAAATAAATGTACTAAATTTTTTAAGTACAAAGGCTAAAGTAGGTGCCACGACAACAGTGAGAAGTTGGTCATCCAGGGCAATGAATTCCTTTTGATTTTTTTTTAATTTAAAATACGTCATGGTGGTAGCAGGGACTCTGCTTTTGTTGTTTTGCAACTCACTTGTCTAATGTCCCTTGTAGAAACCCCTGAAATAATTCCACACAGGCGATATATTCTCACTGTTTTTACTGTGTCTACACTGACCAGGACAGGAAAGGAAAACAGCATTTTTAATCACAGTTTCATATTTTTATTAGCCTTAAATTATTGGTAAAGTTATTGATTTTGACACTTGGTTCTTTGTAATTTATTTTTTCAGTCAAACTTTTTTCCCTTTTTTATAAAAATTTTAGGTGGCCGCAATTTGGGTACATCCCTAATCTCAGGTGGCTCCTAACGAAGCTAAGAGAATGCAGAGGGTGCAACACTGCATTAAGAAAAAGGGAGGTTTATATTAGAAACTTTGAAGAATAAATAGCTTTATTTGTTTTTTGGTCATTGCATAATTCAATATGTCTTAGCTCATATTTCTTTTTTTCATTTTTATTTCTTCAGTATTATTTTAAAATATGTAAAACTGAAATGTGGAGGTGTGTCCAAACTTTTGCCTGGTACTGTGTGTGTGTGTGTGTGTGTGTGTCCCAATTGCCTAGGGTGTCTTTGCTGACACAAGTCCTGTGTTCTTGCCACTTGATAACCACTTGAAAAGCACTTCTGGTTCGGCATTCGGAAAAAACTTCGCTACGAAAAGCCCACCAGTGGACAAACGGATCAGACCCAATTTCCCTTCATGCAATACCGGACTCAGCTTCAGAGAAAACAAAACAGGAGTGCATGAATGCAGAGTGAGGAAGGAGGAAAAAATCATAATCTGCTGCTACCTCTAGTATTATTATAATTGTTGATAAAAATTATCATTTAGATCTTATTTTTTATTTTTTTGTTTTCTTTCTTTTCTAATATGCCACCGATCTACAGTTATGTCATCATACATATTTTCCACAGACTTGTATGTATGTGTTTAACAAAAAGAAATGTACTGTCAACATTGTAAGCTTTATTAATGTGATATTTTTATTCATTCTGTAAAGCTTTTTTTTGTTGCTCCTCAGCTCTAGATTTAAATGTTGAGTTTTTTTTCTTGTAAAGACCACTAAGTATGAAAGATTTATAGTGCAGTTAAGTGTAGTATATGACAATATATATGGAATCTTTGCACAATAGAGTTGTGAAGTTTCCCTTTCAAACAGATGACCTACAGTGAAATCAGACAGATGTGCAGGTGCGTGTTTGCAAGTTGAGAAAAGTTTTACTTGTGTGTATGTGGGGGGGGGGTCTGTATGTGTGTGTGTGTGTGTGTGTATGTGTGTAACTGTGTGTGTGTGCCAGCTGTCTCATTCCTAAGGTGCAGGATGACAGCAGTGGCGGCTTGCAGTCTCCAATCCATCCATAACTCACCAATGCCTAAAGCCTGCTGTCAGAGGAGCTAGTAAGCGTGTGCGTGTGCGCGCGCGTGTGTGTGTGTGCGCGTGTGTGTGTGTGTGTGTGTGTGTGTGTGTGCAATACCATTCCAAAGTTTGGAATCACTATTTTATATACAGCTACCCCAAAAGTATTTTTAAACTATTTAACGATTAGTAAACTTTAAACTACATATTACTTGCATTTTGCTAAGAAATTTGTGAGTTTATGCATCAAAAACAGTCGTAATTCATTTCAAATGTCCATTTTGCAACCTCTCTTCATCTCGTAGAATTAACAACCTGTTTGCATAAGACTGATATATGTAAATAACCTGATTTGCTGCCCTGTTACTGGCTGAAATACTGCTTATAAATGGGTGGGGCTAAAGTGCTATAGGCTAATTAGACGGATATACATAAATGTCAAAACATACCATTCACTCCTCAGTCCACAGTGTCCTTATATAGAAACTAAGCTGCAAAAACAGTTCGTTCTGCATTAATTATTTTTTGTGATGTCACAAAAACCAACACATTTCAGCTCCGCCCTTTTACCCTGAAGTTACAAGGAGTGTTTCAGCCCGAACTGCTTTTTGAATGATGCACAGTACAGGACAGCCAATCAGAACAGAGCTCATTTTCATATGTGAGTCTTAAAGGTACAGCAAAAAAAAAAAACCTCTAAGGCATATAGAGAGGTTGAAAAATGATCATGTAAAAATAATTCAAATGGGCCCTTTAATATGTTAATGTTTCCTTTTTAGTTTATTGTAGCATTAAACAGTATAAATGGACAATACTATATAATAATGCAGTAGACAAACTAATACGTTACATGTGCATATTGAATTAAGAGGCGCATATTAAACAATACGATATGTTCTAGTATCGCCCAGTACTGAAGGTTATCTGTATCGGTATTGAAAAAGTATTCATCTGCAGCCACACTGGTTTCACATTGTAGGAAATATTGATTCCAGACTTTTGCATGGAGGTACATGTGTGACATTCAGAGAGAGAGAGAGAGAGAGAGAAGAAGAGACCGTGGTCTCTAGGAGCTGTTGTCGTACATGCAGGTTGTACTCCAGGTGCTTTGACCCTCCAGATTTGTAGCAGATGAGTAGACTAGCAGATAGTATATAATGACTTTAGCAGTATGATGGGAATGAATGCAGTTTATCTTCTTAAGCTGTTTCTCTCACTTGACTTCCTCCTCTCTCTTCTTCTGACCTTCGACTGTCTCGGTAAAAATGTAGCATGTTCATCTGGCACCAGTAACACAGAATCCCGGCAGAGTGTGGCGTCTCTCAGGGGACACAGCTGCATCCAACAGTGCAAACAATTAGCTCTGCGCTCACAGTTGGTTTGGCAGAGCAGTAGTGAGGAAGGAAAAAAAGTCATAAAGAAATGAGCTAGGACGCGGACCACAAACGTCTGTCAGATCTGGTATGAGGGTGGTCTCATTAAAACTAATGTACCATTGAGTTTTTCTTTCAGCTGCTCTCTCTCTCTCTCTCTCTCTCTCTCTCTCTCTCTCTCTCTCTCTCTCTCTCTCTATCCCCTCTATTGCCCTCTGACTCTCTCTGTCTCACCCTTTCTTCCCTTTCTCTCTCTCTCTCTCTCTCTCTCTCTCTGTTGTATAGCTATGAGTCTTGCCCCCTCTTTTAACGTGCATATAAGTAAGATTAATGATGCCATGTGCTGCTTCAGTCTGTGTGTGTGTGTGTGTGTGTGTGTGTGTGTGTGTTTGCTAATGAAGGAGCGTTCTAAGTGTTTTCTGGTGTCATGCTGAAGGACCCCCATTCATACTAAGGGGAATCCTCCAGACTTTCGGGAAGCAATACACTATTATTATTATTATTATTATTATTGTTATTACTATTATTATTATAATTATTTTAAAACTACCATATACTGTACTTCAGAAGACATTCTCCATAATCCTGCACTGAGCATTGTGCATACTTTGACCTGTTTCAATATTTTCCAGGTGTTGCCTTTTCTTCATGTTCACCATGTCATGTTTGTTATGCTATAGAGAGTCATTTACGCCTGTGTAAATAATCTATGGACAGAAGGTAATCCCTGCATCTACCAGAAGGAAATAATGCGCTATTTATGTTCATTCTAAGACAGTCTGTTTTTTTCTCTGCTTTGTACTTTTGTGTGTGTGGTTAGTTTAGTTAATAACTGAACTGATTTAACACACACTCAGTCACATCAAGGTGCTTGTGTATTGAATAAAACCCAGAATTAGCTGACCCGACCACACCTCCACTCTAGAACACTTTGTCTCTTTTATTAATAAGTTCTCATACATATATTTAGTTTATATAGATGGACTTGATTAATTGCTTTATTTATTTGATAGCAGGTCTGTGCCAAGAGAACTACACTTTCATTAAAGTTTGAACTTCCATATCAGCCGATTTTGTTTGTATTGTTTATTAAGAGAAGAACTAAAAGGTGTGTGTGTGTGTGTGTGTGTGTGTGTGTGTGTATTCTGACTTTGTATGAAAAACACAGGAAAATAGGGCTAACCTACAATATCTTGTATGACAAAAAGCCATATTTTTCAAAAGCTGCATGTTTCTTCTGTTTAAAACTGAAAGTACAACAATATTTCTTTTTGTTGCTGAGGTTAAGGTTTGGTTTAGGGCTGGGGTAAACAGCAGTTTTACAAAATTGTTTAATTATTTAAAACCAAATATATTGTGCAGTTACATATTCAGTATCTAGCACCACTTGTTTGTTCCAAAGGAAGCAAAAAAGCCTTGAGGCCTTCACGCAGCAAGTCTGATTTATTTTGGTGATTTATTTTGATGATGATTAATTTGGTCATTTGTATAACTGATGATATCTTACACACCAAATGAGTTTTTCGGACAGCAGCATTATTTTATTCACCCTTGATTAAAATGTACAAATTTTTGCAAACTTTCGTCAGCAACATGAACTCACTGACCAATCTCTGTTATCCCTAACACACTCACTGCAACAGCCAAGCTGATGTGTTGCCGTATATTGCAGATTTTTCACTTATTAAACTAAAAAGCTGATAGCATAGTCACTAGTCAGTTAAGCACGTGTCTGAATCGAGTCACAAGTCAGTTAAGCATGAGTCTAAATTGAGTCATGAGACAGTTAAGCATGAGTCTGAATCGAGTCATGAGTCAGTTAAGCATGAGTTTGAGTCAAGTCAGGAGTCAGTTAACCATGAGTCTGAATCAAGTCCAAAGTCAGCTAAGCATGAGTCTGAATCGAGTCATGAGTCAGTTAAGCTTGAGTCTGAATCGAGTCACAAGTCAGTTAAACATGAATCTGAGTTGAGTCACGAATTAATTAAGCACAAGTCTTAAGTCGAGTGACAAGTGTGTTAAGCATGAAACTGAGTTAAATCACGGGTCAGTTAAGCCCGAGTTGAGTCATGAGTTATTTAAGCATGAATCCAAGTCAGGTCACAGGTCAGTAAAGCGCAAGATCAAGTTAAATCGCTAGTCAGTTAAGCAGAAGTCAGAACTGAGTAATGAGTCATTTAAGCACAAGTCCGTGTTTGAGTCAGGAGTCTGTTAAGCACGAGTCCAAGTTGAGTCGTGTTATGACCCGGTCTAGGGTCAGCTCATAAAAGAATGGTGTGGCGTCAGTGGCGTCTCTGGCACAGAAAGGCTGGTGGGGCACAAAAAACTTAGGGGCAGCAGCCGACTCATTCGAAACTACACACAAGTTATCTAGCAGTATACAATCATTGTGGTCTGCAACTACATACTGAAAGCAACATATTAGAGCAGGGAAACACATCACCTTCCGGGCAATAGGAATAACACGCCTTGTAATAATGCAGAATGACTCACCAGTGATGATCACTGCTCGAAAGGGAAAGATGCACGACATCATCTGGGCAAAAACTTTTCTTTCAAAGTCCACCAATCAATGAATCAATTCAAGTGACAGCATATCAAGGGCAGACAAGGAAAGCAGAACATTGTTGTTAGCTACACACAGTTAGCCATGTTTTTCCTTGAACCTCTCTGGGCTGAAGGAGCAGGTCTTGTCCTTTCCAGACTGAATGTTGTTGAAATCCTCTGGCTGGTGTGTCCCAAACGTCCAATCTCTAATTTCTGCTCTAATGGCAGGGTATCTAATTTAACTTTTATTACACTTTCAACATGAATCTTTATATTGTCTTGTATTACGAGCGGCTACCACAACTGATGAGGAACTATATCTAGCTGCGTAGCAATGGCCACACCATAAACGACGTTACTGAACGTCTGGACATATATAAATTTATTATTTTTTATTGGCTGCTCTCAGCATGGGGCCAACATGATCGTGCTCCACGACTGGTTATTGAAAGTGCGTAAAGCCTGTGCAGAGTGTTTTCTAACTGCTCACTTGGTTAGACTAGAGCTGACGGGCCGGCTTACCAAACAATGCTTACCAAACAAAGACTGCTTGGAGAAGTAGGTCGGCTACTGGCATTTACACAACAGGTACAGGAACATATTTGGAATACATCGGACAGTCCTACCATTATACTGAATTATTGATCATGTCATGCACTGCTCCACAGCGACATCTGGTGGGGCCGGACCCTAATATAGAGATGACCACTGTGTGGTGTGAAATGTTTGCTTTGTGAATGTGTGTGTAGTGATAACGAGACAAAAACAGCAAATGGTTTTAAGTCTTATACAACTGTACAGTGCAATCACCAGTTTGTCTTCAGACTTGGCCAAAACAACAAACAGAACCCACACTAACTCCGAGATAGACATTAACTAGCCTTAAACAAAACAAGAAAATAAACAAAAGACAAACAGCTTCTCTGACACAAAACACAGACAAAACCCAAAACCCAAACAAAATGGCAGCCAAACCTACACCTGGTGAAGCTATTTACAAAATCTATAAAAAATCTATACACAAAACATACAACACACTAACAGGTTTAAATGGGCTAGACTAAATCGAGGTCAAAACAAAGCAGTCAAAAGGCCAAACAGAGATTGATCAAACAAACAAGCAACAGGAATGAAGAGAGCAAAAGCTGTTGGTGGAGCCGAGGAGGCCTCTTTTGTTCTTCCCGTCAGATGACATCATAACCAACAGTTAACTTGAGCACGGACTGGAGTGAGTGGTGATGAGTTGAAGACACAAACTGGATCATGGAATGAGGCTTCAACTGGTAAGACAGAGCAGAGGCACAGCCAGTTAAGCACATGTATATTTATATTGGAGATATAAATGATCCCATGTCCTGACATTGTATGAAAACCAACCCATGTGTTAGTGTGAATGTTGTCCATTTAAGTTTTTTCTATTTTTTTTTCTAGCTATGCAATTGTATTTTATAGTGCTGTTCACATGAGGATCTGTTTATCTTTAAATGTTTCTCATGAACATGTTCCTACATTTTTCCATGTGGGTTTTTGCACGCAAGTCTGCATTTGATTGCTTGCGTGTGTGAGTGTGTGTGTACGTGTGTG